ATAATAATGAGAATAACAATACCACCACCACCAACCACAAAATCCGATAAAACGAAAGACATGAAAAGGTACTTACAAAGAATATTATTCCTGTACCTGTTCTTCGCTCGGTTCGACGGCGCGCTAAAATAACTCGTGGATCTTTTAAACGCCACTGGAATTTTCTGTTGAGAGTGAAGGAACGTGTAAAAGGAAGTTTTGTTCACGAGTTCTTGCGGTTTAGAAATGAAGTGTAAAAGGAAGTTTTGTTCACGGGTTCTTGCTGTTTAGAAATGAACAAATGGGATATTAAATGTCTGTTTAATGTATTTGTAGATTGGTAAACGTGTAAAAGGAAGTTTTGTTCACGGGTTCTTGCTGTTTAGAAATGAACAAATGGGATATTAAATGTTCACGGGATATTAAATGGGATATTAGATATTCTCCTTGTTCACGGGTTATTGCTGTTTAGAAATGAACAAATGGGATATTAAATGTTCACGGGATATTAAATGGGATATTAAATGTTCTCCTTGTTCACGGGTTATTGCTGTTTTTAAATGAAGGAATGGGATATTAAATTAGAAATGAACATATTAAATGTCTGTGTTTAATGTATTTGTAGTTTGGTAACGAATGGTTTGGTGAAGGAAAATGTTTAGGGATAACGGGTATAAAAGATTATCGGCGTGGGAAGAAATACAGGAGAGTAAACAGTCTGGTTAATTGACATAAATAAATAATGAGTGTAATGGTATGATAGGGATTTTATTACTACTGATAATCATGATTATGATAGTGATAACCATCATAAAGTCTTTTCTAGCCTCGCCCTTCTTCTTTCTCCTTCTATTAAGCTTTCTAGTAAGAGTGATAATAAAATAATAATGATAATAGTGATTATCATAATGATGATGGTAATGATGATACCAATAATAATGATTATCATCATTAATGATAATGATAATAATGATAATAATGATAATGAAAATGCTAATAATGATAAAGGTAATAATGATAATGATGATAATTATAATGATGATAATAATAACGATAATGATAACAATAATGATGATAATGATGAAAATAATAATAATGGCAATAATGGTAATAGTAATAATAATGATAATAATAATGATAGTAAAAATAATAATGATAATAATGATAATAATAGTAATAATAATTATTATTATTATCATTATTATCATCATTATCATTATTATTATTATTATTATTATCATTATTATTATTATTATTATAGTAATAATATGAAATAGTAATAACAATAATCATGATAATAAACAAAAATAATGATAACAATAACAACAACAATGAAAACAACAATGACCCCAATGAAACCAGCAGCAAAAAAACAAAAACAAACAAAAATACAACCCCCAACAACCGACCACCTGTCACAACCACAAACCCCAGTCAACCTCCACCTTGAACTCCACCAGCAGGTCTTCGCTCCGCGCACCACCCGGTTCAGGTAAGCCTCCAGGTCCTCCTTCAAGACCGGGTTGGAAGGGACTTGACGCCAGACTTGAGATTCTGTCGGTTTCTCCTCCTTGTCCCCTTCCTCCTTGCTCCTCCTCCTCTTCCTCCTTTCTCTCTTCCTCCTTGTCCTTGTCCCCTTCCTCCTCCTCCTCCTCTTCCTCCTTTCTCTCTTCCTCCTTGTCCTTGTTTACATCTTCTTGGAGGCTTCGTCGAGTGTCAGTGTGGGGCGTCGATGCGCGGGAGATTGGCAGCCGTTTCGCTGGGTGGAGAGAGAGAGAGATAGATGGATAATGGCTGGGTGGAGAGAGAGATGGATAGATGGATAGATGGCTGGGTGGAGAGAGAGATGAATAGATGGATAGATGGATGGATAGATTGGTTAGATAGATAGATAAATGGATAGATAGATTAGATTGATTGATTGATTGATTGACTGATAGATAGATGGGTGAATTAGATTGATTGATTGATTGATAGATGAATAGATAGATTGATTGATTGATAGACAGACGAGATATAGATTTAGATAGGATAGATAGATAGATAGATAAATAGATAGATAGATAGATAATAGATAGAATAGATAGATAGAATAGAATAGATAGATAGATAGATAGATATAGATAGACTAGATAGATAGATAGATAGATAGATAGATAGATAGATAGAGATAGATAGATAGATAGATTGATTAGACAAACGATAGATAGATAGATAGATAGATAGATAGATAGATAGATAGATAGATAGATAGATAGATAGATAGATAGATAGATAGATAGATAGATAGATAGATAGATAGATAGATAGATAGATAGATAGATAGATAGATATGGATAGATAGATAGATAGATAGATAGATAGATAGATAGATAGATAGATGAGATAGATAGATAGATAGATAGATTATTGATAGATAGATATATAGATGGATAGAAAGATAGATGGATAAATAGATTAGATTGATGATTGATAGATAGATAGATAGATAGATAGATAGATAGATAGTTTGATAGATAGACTGATTGATTGACTTATCGACAAATATATTAATTAAAGGATTAACATTTGATAGACAGATTAATTAAGTGATTGAGAGATAGATGAATTAATCAACTTATTGTCATTTAGAGAGATAGATTAATTAACTGACAAACAAACAGAGATAGGGTAGACGGGTAGGTATTTAGGTAGGCAGGTAGGTAGATAAGTAGGCATGTAGTTAAGTAGGTAGATGGATAGATTGATAGATAAACTTACTGATAGATAGATATGTAGGTAGGTCGGTAGCTAGATAAATAGGCAGATACATATATACATACATACATACATACATACATACATACATACATACATACATACATACATACATACATACATACATACATACATACATACATACATACATACATACATACATACATACATACATACATACATACATACATACATACATAGACAAACTGATTGACTGATTCTTAGATAGGTAATTATATATGTATGTAGGTAGACAGGTAGGTACACAAATAGATATATATATATATATATATATATATATATATATATATATATAGATATAGATAGATAGATAGATATAGATAGATAGATAGATAGATAGAGATAGATAGATAGATAGATAGATAGATAGATAGATAGATAGATAGATAGATAGATAGATAGATAGATAGATAGATAGATGAGAGAGAGAGAGAGAGAGAGAGAGAGAGAGAGAGAGAGAGAGATAAATAGACAAGTAGATATATAGAGATAGGCAGGTAAATAGATAAATAGATAGACAGGTAGATAGATAGATAAATAGACAGGTAAATAGATAGATAGATAGATAGACAGATAAATAGAAAGATAAATAGATCTACACAACACACACGAACCCAAAACCAAACTTGTCATTTTACTTTTTTTACTTTCTTTTTTATGGAAAAAAAGATACCAGTCCACTTATTCCCATTCGTTCATGTCTATCGGATATCTATCTTTTTTTTTTTTACGTTTCCGAAGTAATTCCACAGAGCGAATGCGTAATGTTGAGTCTGACGTCATAAGGCAACCTACCCTTAAAATAGGATTTCCTGAGGATGTGTAAGTGTGATAATCCTGAAATGATACGGCTCTTAGCATCAATTAAATCGTTTTCTTTTTTTTTTGTAATTTTTGGTCGTCGAAGTTCATTTTGATATGAATGGGGAGGGATTTTATATTAAAGAGTGGCTTTTTGTGACTGACTTTTGATAATGGTGATGGTAATGATGATAATGATGGTGATGATCATGATTGTGATTATAATTAGGATGATGTTGATGAGGATTATTATTATGGTGATGATGTTTATGGTTATGATTACGATGATGTTGATGTTGACTATGATGATTATCATTATGATGTTGATGATGATGATTATGAGGACGAATATGATAATGATGATGATGAAGGTGATGTTTGTGATGATTATTATGATGATGATGATAATGATAATGAAGATGATGATGATAATGATTATAATGACAATGATGATGATAATGATTATAATGACAATGATGATGATAATGATGATTACGATTATGATTATGATTATGACGATGCTGACAGCAATAATGATAATGATAAATAACTAGAAGCACTCAGAGAGCGCATACCTCCGCCAAGGCAATAGTCCCACTGATGCAATGAACATAAAACCCACTTGAAAAATGACATTAAATCCCCTTTGTCCCAAGTACGGTGGTGACGTCCGTGTTTCCCTATTTCGCAATATAATGAATGGACCCGGATCACCACCAAAATTTAATGGCATATAGATTAAGCTAAGACACATCTCTGGTAAATAAATAAATAAGTAAGTAAATAAATAAATAAATAAGTGAATAAAAAATTTAAGAATAGAAAATTAAGAAATAAAGACGCTCATAACTTTTTGAGTTATGAATGGACCCGGATCACCACCAAAATTTAATGGCATCTAAATCAAGCTAAATAAATAAATAAGTAAATAGAAAATAGAAAATTAAAAATAAAATCGCTCATTTTTTGAGTTGTGAATGAACCCGGATCACCACCAAAATTTAATGACATCTAAATTAAGCTAAATAAATAAATAAATAAGTAAATAGAAAATAGGAAATAAAAAAATAAAATCGCTCATAACTTTTTGAGTTATGAATGAACCCGGATCACCACCAAAATTTAATGGTATATAAATTAAGCTAAGACACATCTCTGGTAAATAAATAAATAAATAAGAGAATAAAAAAATAGAAAATTAAGAAATATAGTCGCTCATAACTTTTTGTGTTATCTTGCTAACCATCGGACAAACTAACTAACGAATGCTAGCAAAAACGTAACTTTTTTAGGCGGAAGTTGAAAATAAATATGATAATAAAAATCATTGGTAATGCATCATGTTTCTCGGTACAATAATTTATGTCAATATGGAACACGCCTTTTAGTGTTGTTTTTACTAATGTAAACTGAGATAGTAGAAGTTAGGTTGAAATGGCTTTATGTTGATCGGTTAGTCTTATAAAAAAAAATACATATAATGTAAATTCTATAAACACTCTTGTTTGCTTTCAGAAGGATGTTGATGGTCTGTTCACAATAATGAGTATTTTTGAATGATTTCCCTTAATTCTAGTACTATTGACGGATCATTCCCCTTGTAGTGTTTATTAATGTCATTTACTTCAACATTATTATTATCATTATTGATATCATTATCATTATCATCACCCTCACTTGATTACTTCCATTTCATATATCTTTTTTTCTAAGACAAAAATTTACTGAACTGTAAATCAGAATGCTCGCCGTTGATAAAACAAGGCAACTATATTCAAAATTCAACTGGGATATTTCATTTTTTTCGGAGGGTAACGAGATCAATTCAAATTACAATTGAACATCTTTATAATACGTAAATTTATGCTAAAAATTGCGAGAGTCTGTCCTTTAGTCAATAAAATATTATCAAGACGTGTTATTGTGTATATCATAGAGTAACTTAGAGCTTGCGGGAAAGTCTGGTGTGTGGATAACAGTAACAAACTAATACCCGACCTTTGTAGTACCAACGTACCAACGTCGCAAGCTGCATCATGTGTCAGTTGTTCTACAGAAGGCCATGTCAATTATCTTATCATCATAAGAAATGAAAAAACAACATATGCCTAATTTGCAATATAAATAACGACTGTTTTAACGTGCAGGAAAATGTGAAACCGTAATCTACAGGTCCTTTTTGAGTAAAATCACTGATAGTTTTTGGCTTTAACTTTAAGGACAAAAAATAATCAAACTTTATGTTATGCATCTATAGACATAATATGACATTGAAAAAAATCAACCAAAATAAACATATAGCCAATATAGGCTAGTTACCCCATACATCACACTAACTTCAAAGAAAACGTTATTTAAGGATAAACTATTATTTAATAATTTAATGTACAATTTCCCTTTTATCTAAGTCTATTAATGAACTAAAACAAAATTTGTTATTAAAAACAGTTTTTTAAACCATTTTACTTTAAAAAGCTGATACAAACATTCTAGCATAATTTCCCCGTGCATGAAAACAGTTCAAAGAAAAGAAACACAAACGATAAGCGCATCTATAACATATTTTTGTTCTAATCTATGTTACACATATCCCACATATATCTATTTCGTCAACCAAGAACGCCACGAATATTCACTGACACTAATCTTAAACCGCTTAGATTCAATACCAACTATACACAAACAGTCGCAAGAACTCATATTAAAAGATAACACTAAACCAGGGCGCCAACTACGGGGTTGGAGTGCTGTTATATATATATATATATATATATATATAATATATATATATATATATATATATATAATATATATATATATATATATATAATATATATATATATAGATAGATAGATAGATAGATAGATAGATAGATAGAGATAGATAGATAGATAGATAGATACATATATATATATATATATATAATATATATAATATATATATATATATATATATATATATATATATAGAGAGAGAGAGAGAGAGAGAGAGAGAAGAGAGAGAGAGAGAGAGAAAGAGAGAGACAGAGAGAGAGAGAGAGAGAGAGAGAGAGAGAGAGAGAGAGAGAGAGAGAGAGAAGAGAGAGAAGAGAGAGAAGAGAGAGAGGAGACAGAGAGAGAGAGAGAGAGAGAGAAGAGAGAGAGAGAGAAGAGAGAGAGGGAGAGAGAGAGATGTCAAATAATATTATTATTTTATTTTTCATTAAATCATATCTATATAGATCTGCTTGCATCTTAAACATACCCTCTAGGAAAGCTCAATTTTCTCAAAACTTTGTTCGCTTCCTATGGACCGCAATCTCACTTTTTTTTTCTTTCTTTTTTATTTTTTTCATTTTTAAATTTTACCGAATCACACCTACATACACCTACTCGTACCATTAACAAAAAAATAGATAAATAAATAAATAAATAAAACAAAAAGCAAAAAAATAAAATAAATAAAATAATAAACAAATAACGAAAAAAGAATAATAATCAAAAAAAAAAAACAAAAATATTCGACCGCTCGCTACCCCGCCTTCCCTCCCCCCTCCCTCCCCCTCCCTCTCCCCTCCCCCCTCCCTCCCCTCCTCCCCACCCCCCTCCCTCCCAAGAAAACACCCCCTCCCTCACCCCCTCCCACCCTCCCTCCCCAAGAAACCACCCCCTCCCCCCTCCCCCAAGAAACACCCCCCCCTCCCAAGGGAACACACCCCCTCCTCCCCCGCCCCCAAGAAACACCCCCCCCCCTCCCAAGAAATACACCCCCTCCCCCCTCCTAAGAAACACCCCCTCCCCCCTCCCCCTCCCTCCCCTCCCTCCCCCCTCCCCCCCTCCCAAGAAACAGCTGATGTGCCGCCGCTTCACGCCACTCACCTCGAGTCCCGTTCGTCAGGAGAATTTCGTCTCCGTCAGTTCCTTTGACCTCCCCTGCCAGATGCACGATGGTCATCTCGTCTCTCACTGGAGGGAGGGAGGATTGGATAATGAGATTGGTTAATGCGGTGATGTGATGGTGTGATAATGGTGATGATTGATGGGGATGATGGTAAAATTAATGATAATGATAATAATAATGATAGTAATAATAATAATAATGATGATGATGATGATGGTAATGATAATGATAATGATGATAATAATATATAATAATAATGATGATGATGATGATGATGATGGATGATGATGTGGTGATAATGAATGATGATGATGATGATGTGTATGATGGTAATGGTGATGATGATGGTGATGGTGATGATAATGATGATGATTGGTAATGGATGATGATGGTGATGAAGAGAAGATGCTGATTGATATTGATGATGTAAATGATAATGATAATAATAATACACTGATATAAATCACTCACACACCTGATGATGATGATAATGATAATAATAATAATAATAATAATACACCATAACTATAATAATAAATAATATTATATTTATTCACACCCACACTTATATTATATTATTATATTATTATAATGATAATAATGATGATGATATTGATAAACTGCACTGCATATATCATGGTCAACACATAATCACATAATAACTACACCTGCATGACTGCCACCATAAAACTCCACACTCTACTCACACACCCTCCACACTCAGCCAATCCATAACAAACTTCAAGAACAACCATCTCGCATCCCCTCCTCCAGAATACACTCACAATAGCGCACACACTCGCAGATGCATGAACAAAACTGCAACAGAACAACCTAAGGTTCACAGCAACAACGACCATACACACCACACCCATCGTGTGTCCTCCTTGCCGTCTCTCTCTCGTGTTCCACTCTCCACACACCCATATATTTTCACCTCCCCTCTCCACTTGTATACACCAAACTCCCCCCCTTCTCCTCCCAACACAGAACTCCACACCGCTTCCTGTCCGTCACACTATCACTCTTCCTCTTCTTCCTTCCACTATTCCCATCCCCCTCTCTCCGTCTTCCGTCTTCCAGCATACCTCTGAGGGCGACAGCTTGCAACGGACCAGTATGAACGGGCGTAACAAGAAGTAAGCCAGAGGAGTCTTACGAAGCGTGAGGAGCTGTCGAGCAAGCACTGAAGAGAGGAGGAGAGAAAACTTGAACGCTTCGCATAATGATGAGCGATGTTGGTGAAATTTATAGCTAATGATGATGATGCGTTGTCGGAAAAGAGCTACGATTGATAATGGAGAATCAAAGTGATTGTATGTATGTTGAAGAGACACGCAAAACCTGCGGTTGCCACTAATGATAACCTGAGTGACGATTTGATCGATAGTTGGCTGATAAGACTTAGAGTGATAATGAGGATGGTGATAATGATGATGAGGAGGTGATAATGATGGAAATGAGTGAATGAATGTTTGGTGCATAATGATGATGATGGATTGAGTGTGGTGATTAATGATAATGATGATGATGGGTGATAATGATAATAGATGAATTGATGATGTTGGTGATAATGAAAATGATTGAGATATGATGATCGGTGGAAGTGGAGGCGGATGGGTAAGGTGTAGGGGGGTAATGGGTTGAGGGGGAGGAGAGGGAGATGGGGAGCAGATAAGGAGAGGAGAGAGGGGGGAAGAAAAGAGATTGGGGCGAAAGAGGAGTGGGAAGGGGTGGATAATGTAGTGAGATAATAGAGTGATGATGATGTTGGTGTTAATGTAGATAATGGGTGCATGAGGTGATGGTGATAGATGATAATATGTTGGTGATTAAGATAAGTGGGTGAGTGAAATGATGGGTGATGAATTTATAATAAAGATGAAATATGTGTGGTGATAATTGGATAATGATGATTGAGATAGTGTGAGTTGATATATAAGTGAGTGCATGCCATGTTGGTGATAATGATAAGATAATGGTCTGATGATGGGTTGTATAATGATAAGGATAATGATGTGGATGTTGGAAATGATCCTAATGATGAATGAGATGATGTGCGTGATAATGGAGGTAGATGCAAGAGTGAGTGAGTATGATGTATGTGAATAGATATGGAGAGTGAGAATGATAATGGATGGGAGGTGAGGTTGGTGATAAAGGATAATAGTATATGATGGATGATGTAGAGTGGGAGAAGTGGAGATGAGAACGATATGAGTAATGATGATGATGTCTAATATGATAAGTGATGAGATGATGATGAGTATTTATGAGATGAATGAATGAATATGAAGAATGATGATGTGGTGATGAGATGATAAATGATGATGGAGTGGTGTGCGAAGAAAAAATGAAATGATATGATGATGAGTGTGTGTGACACATAAAGAGATAATGATAATGATGATGATGTGCGTATAATATGAATGGACAAAGAAGCAGATAAGAATATAGAGAATATGGATGTTGTGAGTGTATTACTAAGCAGTAAATAAAGGAAGATGAAAAGAGAGGATAGCTGGTGATAATGATAATGTATGTTGGTGTTAATGCATAATGGTGATGGATGTGTGATAATATAATGATGATGATGTTGTGATAATGATATTGATGATATTTGTGATAATGATAATGATGAGGAAGTATGTATGTGATAGAGTAGATAATGATAATGAGTGGAGTCTGAGTGAGTAGATGATAATGAGATAATATATAGAATAGCGTATAAGTGGCAATAGTATAAATAATAATGATTAAATGATGGCATATGTGTAAATGAAAATTGGTGAATGTTGGTGATAATGGAGTGAAAATAAGGATTGAGATTTATGTATATTGACGATGAGATATAATAAAGGATGATATGGTGAAAGAATAATATATATCTGAGGTGATGAGTTGGTGATAATGAGTAATGTGATGATGTATATAGGGTGTTAATTGATAATATAATGAGGAAGTAAATGAATTTTTTTTATTTGCGCAGTTAATGATAAGTGATATGATGAATGTTGGTGATAATGATAATGATGCATGTTGGTGATAATGATAATGATGATGATGTTGCTGATAAATGATTAATGATGATGATGTTGGTATAATGATAATGATAATGCATGATGATGTTGGTGATAATAGATATATGTATAAAAATAATATGAATGATAGTATTAATGGATAGATAGATAAATATGATAATGTGATTATAATTATAACATAATAGATATATATACTGAGGTTGATAATGATAATGATTGATGATGATGTGGGATAATGATAATGATAATAAAGAGTGAAATGATGTATGAGTAAATATAATGATAATGTGATGATATGGTGCATAATGATAGAAATGAAAATGGTGATGAGGGCTGATAATATAAAATATATATGAAGAGTTAGTATAAGATAAACTTGATAGATCGAATCGTAGATAGTTGTGATAATAATAATGATAATGCATCGAACTGCACATGTATATATGGTGATAATGATAATGATAATATGATGATGTTGGGATAAGGATATGAAATGATGCAGATGGTATAATAATGATGATGAGGATTAATGAAAATGATATGATTGGGGCATATGATAATTGATATGATCGTTGGTGCATATGATGATGATGCATGCATGTTGCTGATGATAATGTAATGATGATGATTATGATGTTGGCTATAATGATAATGATAATATGATGATGTTGTGATAATGATAAATTACTAAAGATATCGATGTTAGGTGATTAATGATAATGGGATGATGTTATGTGATAATGATAATGATGTTGGTGTGAATTGAATAAATGGATATGATATGGCATAGATGAAATAATCTAGATATATGAATGATGTTGCTTGATATGATAATCACATGATAGATTGATGATAATGATACAGATAAGAATGATGATCGAAATAATGAAATATAATATGGTAGATATGATAGATGATAAATGATAAAGAATGAATGAATGAGTATGATATGGTGATAATGATAATGATACATGATGACGATGTTGTGATAATGATAATGAGAAGATGATGAGTGTGATAATGGATATATATGATGATGATGATGTTCGTGATAATGAATAAATGATAATGATGATGAGTTTGTTAATGATAATGATAATGATGATGATGTTGGTGATTAATGATACGATGGTGAATGATGTTGGTGATAATTAATAATGATGAGGTGCTTAATGATAATGGTGATGATGTTGGTGATAATGATAATGATGATGATGTTGGTGATAAGATAATGATGATGGATGTGGTGAAATGGAATAAAGATGATGATGTGGTATGAAGATAATGATAATGTGATGAGGTGCATAATGATAAGGATTAATGATGGATGTGGTGATAATGATAATGATAATGATGATGATGTTGGCTGATAATGATATAATTGTTATGAGCGTTGGTCACTAATATAATGATTCGATGATGATGTGCGTATAATGATAATGATAAATGAGTGATGATGGTATAATCATAAAAGATTGATTGAGATGTTGGGTGATAATGCATAATGATGATGATGTTGGTGTAATATAAAATGATAATGTGAATATGTTGTGAAATGATAATGATGATGATGATGTGTGCATAAATAATGATGATGTTGTGCATAATGTAAATGATGATGATGTGGTGATAATGATAATGATGATGATGTTGGTGAAATGTATAATGATATGATGAGTATTGATGTTGTGATATACATAATGATAGATGATAAATGATGTTGTATAATACAATGAATAATGTAAATGAATGATGAGAAGTTGGTGATATGATCACAATGATAATGATGAGAATAGTGGTGTTAATGATAAGGTATGAATGAATGGATAATCATATATGATGAGAATGGTTGTAATGATAAAGGATGATGATATGTAAGTGATAATGATAATGAGTGATGAATGTTGTGATAATGTAATGATGCATGATGTGGTGTAATATATTATGATTTGAAAGTGATGATGATGTTGGTATGAATGATAATAATGGTGATGATGGTGTAATGATAAGAGTAATGATGGT